GTACTCAGAATTCAAGAACTCCCAGGTAAGCAATCCCAGACAGGCACAGGTCACTCAGCTGGAAGCAAAGGACATCCAGTCCTTAAATTTGGCCTTGCTGCATTCTCTGTGTTTGTGAAGAGCTAATAAACAGTAAAGTATCATAAAAAGTGTCCATGGAACAGTTTCTAAGGTTCTAATTTCCCTAGTATCTTGAAAGCCCAGGATTGATGTTGCAATATTACACAAGGAGCCTCTGACTTACTGCAAGCCTGGCATTGTTTAGCAAACCAGCGTGAGTCCAGATGCTTTTTCCCACTAAAGTCATGGTGACTGTGCTGAGCACAGACAGAACATGGAGAAAGGGAGGTTTGCTGCTAAGCACACAGCTCATATGGTGCTGAAGTGGCTCAGATTTACAGCTACACATGTACTCTAATCTGATCTTTGCACTAATGCATTCTTCTCCTGCAGCATTTCAAGCCTCTGGATGAAGGGAAGAAGGCCAGGAGCCCTGCATCCAACACACTTCCACAGTCAGCAGAAGCAGAAGTATTAAGCTTTACTTGAAGCTTCACTTTAAAACCTCATCTCTCAGATCAGTGCCTGCTGCTGGACGTAGATATTTGACCAAAGCAACCTGTGAAGCAACACACAGCATTTCAAAGGCCTCCCTTGGATAGATACTGATGAGTTATTCTCCATTTGTAAGCAGAGTTGTACTCTTCACATTTATAGCAGACGCTGCCTAATAGCTCCATTTTGACTCATCCCCTGGGAATAAAGCATTAAACTCCCTTTTCCAAATGACAGACTCCATGTGGCACTGATGCTGCAGAGCAGAAGCTCACAGAGTGTGTGCTACAGATGTAGGAATAAATTCCATGCTCTGACACGAAATTCTCATCTGCCCAGCATGTTGCAAGGTCTGATATCCTCTGGGGGTTTGAGGTCTCCTCTGCCCTTTGTTATACAGCCCCTTTTTCTGTTCTCTACACCCTTTGCTGCTGCAAACAGCATCATTGCTTTCCATCCTTTGTACAGAAAGAGTTGGTGACAGCCAGTTAGAGTGCTCATCTGTGCTTAGGGAAAACATAGAGACCACAATAAACAGCATCTCTAAAGGAAAGATGGAAAGCATTCAGAATTCACAATATATGAAAATGAAATTGCCTATTTCTTATGTTCCATTTCTGCCACCTAAAGGCAGAAAAGAGCATGAATGGTTACCAAAAGAAAATAGTCACTGCTAAGTGAAAACACACCCATCTTTCATCTAAGGATTTCAGAGCCTCACAACAGCAGGACATCAGTTACTAGAGCAAGGATTTCAGGGCGATCCGAATGACTCTGCTACTGCAAAGACAAATTCATTTTGTTTGCAACACAGCTCTGTCCTGCAGCAAGAGGTGAGGTGAGTTCATGCTTTGTCGTCATCCCCGTGACTAATTGCTGTTGGGGTTCACCTGCACAGCACCGACCTCTTTCATTATAAGTGTGTTTCCTTCTGAAGCATCGTATGCCAGCCGTCGTCAGCAGAGACCTGAGATGCAATTACCCAGTGGCTTGTCTCAGCATAGCAAATTAGCTATTCCTGTTTACTCAGAAATTGTGAGACGGACTGGATAGCAGCATCATAAAGGCATCATAAAGCCACGCGCCTGTGTGGATGCAAGCTTTGACAAGAATGCACATCTGAAGTGCAGCATGACTTCAATTTTTCACTAAGCGCCTCTGCCCCAGAGCACCAGTTGCCATGAGATAAACAGAAGAAATCCTGCACACGCTCTGCACTAGTTCTGAATATGAGTACTTTTTAAATCACTGGGCATTCGTTGAGCTCAAGGCCTACCTACAAAATAAACTGGTCGCTTTTAAAGAGAGTCACATACAAAGGCTGTGTTTTATTTACATTCTGATCAAGCACGTGAAAGCAGGGAAAAGAGCCATGCTCGCTGTCTACAGCAGTGCAGATTTATCCCACCATCTCCTGATTCCTACATATTCAAAATAGTATTAATAGAGGAAATCTTTGCAACAAAGGATTTCTCAGGCAAGTTAACAGTTGGCAAAACAGCAACATCGAAAGGGAAAGACAGACAAAAACCTAACCCAGCAAATGCTGTTAAAGTGGGTGTGTGCACTAAGGAGACATGTAGCAACAAGGGATGAAGGAAGCTACAGAGCATTCATCCTGCATCCAAAAGTATAAAAGGAGCTGCACCCACTGGCAGCATAACCTGAAAGTTTACATGGAAAGCGGTTGGCAGAGCTGCCCATCGTAAATCAATCAGAAAGGAACTGCTGTAAGTACAGTTATTCACTTGGAACTTCCCAATGGTGAAGGCCATTTATCTAAGAACATGACATACGTACACTTAGAAAGGAAAAAAATCCCCATGGCAAAGATCCAGCATGCTATTTTTCTTAACGAGGAGGGGAAGCAAGACAAGAAGTGCAAACCAGTCCTTCCTAAAGAGCAGGGCTGCTCTAAGTATGGCCGACCAAAGCTGTGTTTTGGCCTCATCTCCTTCCCCACGTGGCCACTGAAGGCTTTCCCAAATGCTTACACTTACGTCCCCCTCCTCATTCCATACTTCCTCACTGCTAGACATTTTCCCCTTTCTTAACTAAACGGTACATAATGGGTTACATCACTCCAACTATGGAAGATGATGAAAACCAAATATGCCCCAGCTAGAAACTATTTTTTCCAACCCAGGTTTTACTGAGCTGTAAGCTGAACAGTTCTGCCCGCAGCTGTGAGACTCAAGAGGCGCCATCTGAAGAAGTACTTACAGATCCTAGAAAGCCTTATTTACAATTTCTCTGCTTGCTGTGCATGCTGAAACTTGCCTTGCCATGGTGTTTGCAGGAGAACATGACCAGTGGCATTCCTAGTCAGTCCAAATTCAAAATCGCGAGTGAAACAGGACAGCAGTGCAGCTGTGAGTGGACAGCTGGTCTCCAATTTGGGCTGATTTTAGTAATGTTTGTAGAATAAGACTCATAAGAGGTACATGAATTTGCAATGCTGAAGCGTTTGCATAAAATATCAGGTACCTGTTGAATTTGGAAGCAAAAGAACCACAAGATTCCCAGTTAAATTCAAAGCCTTGGAGACAGTTTCTTGCAGGGGCCACATTCCAAGGTTTCTGTTGCTGGTTATGCAAAACTGCTTCTCTTCTCCTGGCTACAGGAATATGTTTTGGTCCTCTCTGTGTCATAAAGCCAGGCTAATTCCTGTCTTCACTGTGGATGCAGTAGCATGTTATAAATAAGCATGAAAACTGTCCAATATACGGATCGGAGTATGGAAGAGAATAGGAAGATGAGAAATCTCCAGTCTGATTTACAACCCAATAAATGCAGTGATTCATTGCAGCAATTTCCTGTTTGCAGTCAGCCAAACTTTCCCGCCTATACAAGCGTTGATCAGTTCTCTAGTGATGCTTCATCCCTCTGATGAGAACACTGATGTTCACAGAAGAACAAACTGCTTCTTGTCAGGAAGGAAGGCAGGAGCAGGTCCTAGCTCCAGCTCGTCCTAGGCTCACACAACCTACAAGGCAAACTGGGTGAGACAGAAGGGAAATACTTATTGAGGCAGAGCAGAATAAGTGCTTAGTTAAGAATAATCTTACTTTTTGTGGCTGGGTCATTGTTAGACAGGTAAATAATCCTCTAACCCCTGAAATATCCTTTTACAGATCGCTTCCCTGGGGCAAACTGGTTACAGTCCACTAAGGGACTGGAGCAATGGCCCATTATATGTCCTTAAGCTCCAGACAACACCTACAGAGCCCCAAGGATTTCACAGCAAGAGATCTGCTTTGCTCTGTTAGCTGAGACCATGGGCAGCCATGCAAAGAAATGGGTCTGTCAGCCATGCCTCCCCCCCGTGCAGTCGTGTTTTATGATGCAGTAATGCCACCATCTTGGTACCTGACTCCATGCCCACTTTACAAACACCAGATCTAGTTGTGAGCACTGCCTGAATAATTCTGCCAATATTCCTAAGTCTGGAGTTGCAGCAGCACAGAGGAAATGGGACACGAGTGTTGTGAAAGTCTGTAGAGAGCAGCCAGCGCCCAATTTAAACGAAAGCTGTTCGTATCGCAGTTCTCATAACTTGGTGCAGAAAGTCTGTCTGCTTCCTGATCAGGCACACACAGGGTGATTCTGCTTAGGAGAGGAGTGCTGTGCAGGACACAGCTAAGGGAGCTGCTGCCTCGGATGAAGTCTGCAGCCTTCCGAACAAACTACCTGAGGGAAGTACCTGTTTCAGCTGAAGCGTCACTGCCCTCAAGTAGGTGTGTGAACTGCAAGGGATTTCCCAGGGACACGAGAACAGAGTTTAAACCTTGCACTGAGGTCTCCTGGTGGCCTCAGGAAATGGACTTCCCGCAAGAAGAGGATTTGTCAGGATAGATTCTTCATGTGATTTCCAGTAGCTGTGCCCATCACACACTTAACATCCCTCCTTGCCAAAAATGAAACAGGCAAATCCTCACAGGCAGAAACACCAAAATCCTGAATGGGGCATATTCTGTGGTTCTGTGATGCAGCACTTCACTCTCTTCATAGACTCAAAGCTAGCAGAGGGTGGGGGGGGTGTTTCCTTAGCTGGATTTTTGTGCTTAGGGGAAGATTATTTTGGCTTCTGTAAGTTCCTCTTTTGCAGATTTGGAAAACTGCTTTGTTTTTTGTTTCCGACAAAGAAATTGACAAAGCACTGGATCCAGAGCTCATTTGCACTGTCCAATCCATCAGTCCATTCAGAGGTCTCTTTCTCTCCCCATGCTATTTGCATTAAATCAAATAGATTTTCATGGTTTCTATCTAAGGAAAAGCTCTTATCTACTTGTGTTCAGGCTCTTCTTGGGAAAAGCCATTTCTTCATCAGCTGCTGCTGCAGATCGTTGGGAAAGAGGGTGGGACCTTCATGCTGACGTCCTTTGGGCCGTGCCTGACTATAAAGAGCGAGGCAGTGCTGCAGCCAAGAAACTCTCCCAGGCAGTTTGCAGGGACTGCCTTTATTCTGCAGCCACTACAGTTCGCTTTGAGGAAAAGAAGAGGGAGTTGGGCCTAACCACGATGGAGAGTTAAATACAGCTGTCATGTTCTTGATGTGAAACAGGATACTTCTTTCTTTTGCAGCTCAGCAGGGTTTTATTCCCACCCTTCCTTTCTCAGCTCTCTTCTACGCACGCAGAGGTAATGCTGCAAACAGTCTGCACGAGCCCTGAGCTACTGGTCAAGCAAAACATCACTGAAAATGAAAGCTGTGGCTACAGTCCAGGCCAGGGATCTCCACAGCCTGGGGAAACTGCCAGTCCCAAAAGGCATTTTCAACAAAGCCCATCGCTGCCAGACTCTGGATTAACTGAACTTAATGTTGCAAGCCCTGAGATCCACCCAGCTCCTCCACATAAACCTCTAGCGATGTCTGCTCCCACTGGTAAGATCAAACCTTTATTGACATTTTCTTTTTTATGCTGCTTTCGCAAAGTGAAGAGGTTCATTCACTGACCTGTGACTCCGTTTGTGCCAGCAGTGTTCAGCTTCTGTGGCAGCAGCGTCAAACAAAGGCTCATGGCGTGCTGCTGCTCACACCTTGTTGTTATTTGGCTGTGCTCTGCCATGCTGAAGTCAGAAATTGTTCCCCTTGCTGAAGGGCAGCTCAGTACTCCATTATTTCTGCCTATCTCCAACGTTCTGCTGCTCATTCACAATCTGAATTGCAAGTTTGGTTCTGAATTTAATGGCAATGTAATATAGATACGACCTTTGAGTTGTTAATCTTACAAAATCATGTGAAAGTGTGCTTGGTCAATTGTAGCTGAGCTTTCAAGAATACAACCATGCATGTAATGTAACCCACTATCTAGCATTTTTACTGAGGCAATTGTGTTTTTTCATATCACTTTTCACAGAGTCCTTTGAAACAGAATCATAGAACCACAGCATGGCTCAGTTGGAGGGCAGCTCAAAGCCCACCCAGTGCCACCCCCGGCCGGGGCAGGGCTGCCCCCCACCAGCTCAGGCTGCCCAGGGCCCCATCCCACCTGGCCTGGAGTGCCTGCAGGGATGGGGCACCCACAGCTCTCTGGGCAGCAGCGCCAGCGCCTCACTGCCCTGACCAAAGGATTGCTTCCTCACAGCTCACCCACATCTCCGCTCCTTCACTTTAAAGCCATTCCTCCTTGTCCTGCAGTCACTATCAGACTGTAAAAAGTTGGTCCTTTTCCTCCTTGGAAGCTCCCTTCAAGTGCAGGAAGGAAACACCCTACAAAGACTAAATCATTCTTCAAAACATCAGCCATAGGAATCAGTCCCATTTCTAGAGCAGTCTGAGCAATAACCTACACTTTAGAAGTCCCAGCACTCAGTGACAGGCTGGGCAGGCACAAACAGCACAGCCCTCAGCACCAAGCATTCAGTACATCCTCAGTGCACCGAGGACAAAGGGGTGTCAGCTTTCACTGCCTGGAACAGGGCACAGAAACATCATCACACAGCTGAAACCACCTCTCGTTCAGCTGCACTCCAGTCAGCACTGCTGCTTTGGGCAGCTGCACCATGCATGCCTGCTGGGCTGGGCTGCAGCCTCATGCTGACCCCAGCATGTGTCCTTCAGTCTGCTCGTGTCATATGTTAACTAGTGGGAGCCAATGCAACCAAACTGTCATTTCATAATGATGATAGCTGTTACTGACTGTGTGTTATGGGAAGGTTGATCATCTTCAAGGGGAGAGGGGTCAGGGACGTGGTGTTATATAAAAGGTGTTTCAAAAGCAATGCATTTAAGCTCCTAATCTGGGCAAGTCTTTCAAGTTTGGGGATTCAAGTCTAAGATGCAAGAAGAACTAGCAAACAATTACAGAGCAGCTTGTTTTGATGATGGCAAACTTGTTTGGACAATTATATATGTTCTCAAATAACTATTTCATTTCAGTACAGAAAACCCTTGCTACCCTTTGCATCACACTGCACTGACGTCTCACAGAATCACAGAATCACTCTGGTTGGAAAAGACCTTAAAGATCATCGAGTCCAACCACGACCTAACCATACTACCCTAACTCTAACAACCCTCCACTAAACCATGTCTCTCTATACACCAAGAGCCACTGCAGAAAGACTTTGGACATGGCATCACTATCTCAATTCTAAAACAATTCTATTCCTTATTTTTTTTTAACCAACGTCAATAAAATAAACTGTGGGAGAGGAAACTGCACCAAAATATTTACTGCAGCACACTGGAGCAGCTCGAGAAGCGATGCGTTGCAGTAATTGTGAGCAGGAAGCGTCTTAATAAAAGGCCAGAGCTAAGGAAGACGTGGGGTGGTGTGGAAATTTCCCACAAGTGATGATGAACACCAGAATCACAGCTCGCAGGGTGACCTCATCCTCCCACTGCCCTCTAACAGCTCAGAGAATTCTGTTCCTTCAAGCATTGTGACTTTTCCAGACTCGGCGCTGGGCTCGGATCCCCCTCCTCGGAGGCGTTACATGGGTGTGAGGGTGAAGATGCCGGTGCGGGAGCTGCTGAGGAAGGTCCGGCTTTCCAGGGGGCTGCAGGCAGCTGCCAGCCAGGTAAGGGCTGTGGGAGGGCGGCCCTCAGAGCTGGGGCTGCAAGCAGCCATCCGTGATCTGAATACTGTCCTGCAATCCATCCAGAGGTGGCCCAAAGAAACAACTTTGCCCTTTGGCTCTAACAACTCAGGCTTCCAAAAAGGCTGTGCTCCTGTCCTTGTGTGGCTGCTGCAGATTGCCTGCTCGTGGAAATTCATTCATGTGCAAAGTACACAGTGCAAAATACAACGCTGTTAGCTTAGGTCACACAGTTTGCCATTGTTTCACTTTCTAACATGCGAGCATTTTAAATGTAGTTTTGTTTTTATTATTATTTTTGTCTCCTCAGGAAGCCTCATCAGTGAGGACGGCAAGCAAAGGATCCTCAGAAAAAACAGGTCGGGAAGCTCCTCTCAGTGACACCACCTCCTTTTCACACAGGGACATCAGTGTTGAGTACCAAAGAGCCCCATGCCATCCCTAGGGCCCCTCCAATGGCAGGAGCAGGGCAGCCACGCACCTTCACTGCGGATGTGTTATGTGGGACAGAATAGTTCTGCGTTGGCCCCCCCTGCCCCAAACTCAAGATGGCTTTTTTCTTCCTTTCTTTTCAACAGAAAAGAGAAGAGTTCACCCTTATACAGAGAAGCAGCTTAGACAGGTATGCATAACACCTTCAGCGCCGCGCTGCCAGCCTCCCCAGGCGCATTTCACATATATCACCCAGCCAGAACAGGACACTTCATGTCTGATTTCCCTCCCCCATCTTCCACCCTCCCCACTTTTGTTGCTGTTTCAGAGCAAGCAGAGCATCGGGCAAACGCTAAAAGGCTTAGAGGACCTGGATATCCTGGTGGAGGTGCTGCAGGAAGACCTGAACAAAAGCCAGCTGAAGAAGGAATCTCTGCGTGCTGCGCCCGATGGCTTTTGGCAGGGCTTCCCTGCAGAGCTGCAGGCCCCTTGGTGGGGAGCTGGAGGAAGCAAGCAGGCAGCTGGCAGCGTGCAGGAAAGGTGTCAAAGCTTCACCAAGCTGCGTTCTCATTGTTGCTTTACAGACTGCAGCTCGGCATTGCAGGAAGAGGTAGAGAGCTCCTTTTGTGATGGTCAGAAAGACATGCATGAGCCTGATTCACCAGGAACATTCTCAAGGACAAGGGAAAAAGAAAGCAGCTGGTGGATGCAGGGCGTGGGTAGCAGCACCCAGAAGCACTGCTGGGCACAGCCTGCACAGAGCACATCTCCCTGCTTTGATCCACCAGGAGCCCATCCAGAGCCATTTGTGGAGGCTGACAGCGACTCTTTGGGTTCCAGGGGATGCTCAAGGCAGACCTCGATTGCTTTCACACAGCAGGATCTCTCCGCCATCTCTTTCTTCCAGTTCCAGCTACACAGGGAGGAAATCTTGCTGAGGAATATTCCGACAGACAAACTGCTTGCACCTGATGAAAATGGCAACAGGTCTCCAGCTTTTTTTCCTATAGAAATACATTGATTTCTATTTCCTGGGGCTGTAACTTCAAGTGCTACTTCAGGGCATGCCAGTGGCAAAGGTCTTCCAGCTCCATGGCGTGTTCAGATGTGCTCCAGAACCCCAGTTTTAGACCGAATCAATATTCCATTAGTAAAATTAGAAATACTTCATGTCTGTGGTATTGCTAGACTACAACTGCCATAGGACAAATTCAGTGGGAACAACATTCAAGGCTGAATTGTAAATGTAAGCTCACAAGAAAATGAACTCAAGCAAAGCGAGGTTGAAAACATTGGGATCAAATTCTCACATGCGAATAAAACTAATTACAATTAAGAAATTGAGACAATTTGACTGTATTTAAGTAAATGTCACAAGCTAACAATTGCAGCACACATTTACAAAGTACGTAAGCACTGGGTGACAAGGTCAGAAGAATATACAAAGGCAAGACCACACACCCAATACACCAACCCTGAGGCACAGTTATCATGCTCTGGGATAAGAGAAGGAAAAAACAAAGGGAAAAATACTACCAATGCCTGTGTCAGTATTTTCTCCAGGCAGAAAGAAAGGCTCACCCAAATTAACAAGAATTCCAGTATGAGATTCAGGAGAAACACACTATTTTGAGCAGCTCCCTGAGACTGGAGTTAGTACTCTGATACTCGGTCCTACATAGGACTGAATTATGGTTTGGAAATACTTTGTTACGTGCAGGAAAGAGGTTTCCCTTCTTTGGGTTTTCCTCTGCTTTTTCTGTATACTAAAGGAAAAAAAAAAAAAGGAGGAAATCAGGTTTGGTTGGTGGCTAGAAGGAAGGAGCAGCAGCTCCTGGATAGGAGAGGAATGGGGTAATAGTGAGAAGGGAGGACCAAGAAATCCTGGCAGACAATAAATTCAAACAAAGCTGGAAAATCAGCAACTCCTTTATCAACACAGACTAAATAAATTAAATGCTTAAATATCTCAAGCTTCTGGTGTTTGTGATCCTGTAACATTTCATGCTTTGAAATCTCTGTTCCTTTTGAGTAATTTAACCATTATTTTACCTGTTTAAAACATCTTCTGTTCCAGGCTGCTGCACAAGGCTGTTGCTCAGGGAAGAAGAGCTCTGACTTATGCGCTAGCACGGAGATTTGCGTCCCTGAATAAAATTGACGAGAAGGATGCAGAGAAACGGGTAGGATGCTGACTTGCCAAGAGTCATTTCCTATGGCACGCAGATGCCTTTCATACCCTGACAAACGCCAAGCATCACTTTGGGAAGGAGTGGCTGCTATCCTTGAGTAAAGAGGAAAACAGAAGGAGGGAGGCAGTGCTCCGAGCAGAGCAAGTCGTAGCATAGCTGAGCAGGGATCCCAACATCCCGCTCCCCACCTCATTTCCTAACAAGCACTGTGAAATGTAAGACTGGCTTTAAAGCAACGATGAGTTTCTCTCGTTCTTCTCTCCCCAGACAGCACTACATCTTGCTGCAGAAAAGAACCAGCACCTGATGGTCGGTGACCTTATATCCCTGGGGGCAAACGTCAACGAGCAGGATGGACGGGGGAAAACCCCCCTCCACCTGTGTGCAGAGAATGGGTACCTGCGGGTCTTAGAGGTGCGCTATCATTGCTGCTGTGCAGTGGGATGTGCAGTGATAGAGCAGAAGTCAGATGCATGCTCTTTAGTTTAAAACAGACAAGGGGTTTATGAAACCTGGAAGTTACCTTCGGTCTGATGGGGTTAAGGTGAGATAGAATAAGGGCAGCTGGGCCCAAATCAGGATTTATCGTCTCAAAATCTTCTTGATTTCAGGTTTTGAAAAACTGCAAAGACAGCGGTGTGTGCGTAGCAGTGAACCTGGCGGACCACTGCGGTAAGAGGAAGCGCTTCGCCGTTTGGATGCTTTGTGTCAGAAGCCTCAAACAACAGATTCTACCTGGGCCTAAGGATGATCGATTTGGCATTGGAGCAGTCTGCCCTCGTGGGGGCTGTCGGGGGGTGGGGTGGTTCCTGCAGTGCAGATGGATGTGTCTGACTGCTCCGTGGTTTCTGTTCAGGTTTGACACCACTGCACTGTGCTGCTCTTGCTCACACCATCTTAGCCACGGAATCTCAAAAAACCGACGGTGACAGTGACATGGGGAGGTTCCTCAAACTACGCAAGGACCAAATTCTCGAGGGAATTAACTGCTTGTTGCACATGGGAGGAAAACCGGAGCTGCAGGTGAGAATCAGCAGCAGGCTGTTCACTGCAACCTTACGTTTTCCTGTTTGATTGCAGTCACAGTCTCACTGCATTTGCAGGTTCTACGTTCATGTCAAACTACTGCTTCCTGTTTAAAAATTGAGGAGAACACCGAGCTGATGTGTTTGCTCCAGACTCATAAACCCAAGGAACTGGACATTCTTCAAGAGGTAACCATACAGCACCTGTTACACAGGCTCTGACCTCGTACCCGAGAACCCAGATTAGCACAAGCTCTCGGTGAGCACAGGAGATGCTCCCAGCCCTGCCCAGGTTGGCACAGGGCAGAGAATCCCCTCTTTAGGGGAAAGGCTCCAAAGGACGTCACTGCAAACGCTGCCCCAGACATTGCCAATGTCTCCTTACTTTCAGCAATTCCTTAAAAGACAAAGAGCTGAATTGTATCCTTTCCTCCAACCCTAAGCACATCCATTCTGCACCAAAAGCACATGGCAGGTCCCAAAATATCCAGATGGTCCTGTGGGTATCCGTGGCTCTTGCTGTGTTTGGTACAGGACACAAGGTACCAGCACTGAGAAGTGAAAGCTTGTGGGCTCCACTTCAAAGTCCTGTTCAGCTGAAATAATGCAATATGCAGCACAGACTTCAGTATTCTTGTCCAATATTAAACAAATATTCGGTGCTTGAAAGTAACAACAGCCTTTTTTCAGTATCTTTTGACTATCAGAGATGAGCTCTCACTTAGGCATATGTATAGAAACTAGTAATGTAAGATTTGAACTAAGAAACAGGCTGAAAGCCACATTTCGGGTCCTCTAGGGAATCACAGAATCACCGAGGTTGGAAAAGACCTCTAAGACCATCCAGTCCATGCTCTGTAAGAGATAATTCACAACAGAAGCCATGAAAATAATTTCAACTCAGCTCATCTCTGACTGAACTGATAACTCTGCCTCCCCTTCCTTTTTGATGGCAAGGAGCAGAATCTAGGTTTGGAATCTCAAAACCGGACCATGGTCTGAACACAGAGACTTCTGCTGGAAATTTACTGTTCTGCTTTCCTCATCCATGCAGAGTAATGGTTTGCTGGAAGCTCCAGGAGTGCCGTGTCCCTCACCAGCAGATCACTTCTCTGAGCTTCTGCCCGTTTCACCTTTGGACTTCGTTGACATTATTCTTAAAGGTATTTTCTGTGCATGTTTTCTCCTAGTCAGAATCTCAGTAATATAAGAGCTGCAATGTAGTGTCAAGCTCTGGTTCATCCCCTGCACTGCTATATAACCATAATTCATGAGCTTCACGGGAACTGATGGAAAAGATGCCCAGTGATTTACAACAGACTTTGGGTTAAGTCCAGAGTTCTGCACAGAACCTCTTTAGCTTGAAAATAGGGCAGTGTGTGTTTGTCATGAGAAAGAAGACATCACATGTAAACTGAACCGAATTTGTGTTCATTACCTTCCAGGGAAATGCTGATAAGGCTCGTTATCTGCATCTCGTGGTCCGTGTGCTGCAGCTGTTGCTGAAGAATAGGCCAAAAACAGACAGTAAAAGTCTTCAAAAGTATTATAGCTTGAACTGACTGTTGAAGATATCTCCTCAGTACCCAGCAATCAAGAGTAAACTTGATTGGCAGGGCAAATCCTTAGACAGTGTTAGATGCTCCAGTCAATGAATTGGTCTTAACTTTCTCATGAAGCTGAGCATTAGCACTGCTTTCTGGAGGGCCACTGGAACTCTAGATGTTCTACTTTCCCAATGTCTGAATTTTTTTAATGCAGCTACCATTGGTTAAGAGGAAAACCTTCTATTTTAGCCCTTCAGGACCTAGTCCTGATGGTACCAATGTAAGGTCAGTCTCTGCAGTCTGAATTCAAGGCACTGGAAAAAGATAACAACAAAATCCCCCCCCTCCAAAAAAAAGACAGACCAAAACCCAAAGCACAACGCACAGCTGTGCTGCTACTGAGCAGATTTTTTCAACAAGAGTCGAGCTGATTATCTATGCAATCAGAATTTGCCACCAGTAATGGACTTCAGGTGAAGTCTGGGATGTAAAACATTTGGAATTAGTTTATCTGTGATGTTCTAACAGAGGAATACAGCTTTATAAAACGTAGGTCTGTAAGAATACTTCACAGCAATGCGCTGTTAGACCGAGCAGCTTTGCCTAAAAAATTTTCAGCTGCCAGATACAGAAGTATTCAATGGGACTGCTAGAAATTAGGGAATTAATAGAAAGAAAATTCTCTTCCCAGATGTAATGTCATTTAATTTGAACTTCTGATTGTGAATTAGCTGGTTTCTATGAAACTTCCCTGTTTGCTACGTATGGAGCAATCTACATTTACCTAGCTACAAAATGATTGATCCAGCAATCAACTCACAGATATACCTCCCATTAAAGTAGATGGGAGATTTTTCACGTGTAACATTGCAGGATCCAGCTCTGAGTACTCAGCACGCTTGGGGAACTGATCTTTAATGATCTCTTTGGATTTTCTTGTCAAAAGGTTCCTTTTATTTCTTCTTGGGTATCCTTAAGTGTTAAGCTCCAAGAGCTACGTTGCACAACATGAAGCAAGTTTTACTGAAAAGTGACAGTGTTGAAGTTAACTCCAGTGGGATTTTGGTCCTATCTTATGGTTCTCATGTTCTGAACTGCTGATCAGGGTTGCATTCATCTATGTTCAGATTCTTGGGTCTGGATGAGACCTACATCAAGATTCTTATGTGTACCTTACAGTTTTGTGTTGCTGTTCACATAATGGGTTGTAAAGCTGAACATCCCCCTCCTGCCATAGGTGTTCTGCATGCTTTAATCTTTTCCCCTTTTGGGTTTCACATGGAAATACAAAGACTTTCCTCTTGTGCTTTGAGGTGAAGATCCCCTCTATTACCCTCTATTACCACTCATTCCTCCTTCATGTTGGCATTTTAACTCACATCTGAGCTCACAGCCCTTCCTCATGTGAAGAGAATTAATGAGGATCGTCTGAGTGGTTTGGCTTTCATTGGTGGATTTAAGGATCAGATCCAACACTCATTGAAACTGAAGACCCTTTATGTAAAGTAAAAACGAAGAGATGCTGCATCGCAAGCAAAATGAAGAATGAAGTGATACAGTGAACATAGAAGAGCATCAGTAAGCATTTTAAGTGAAAAAATGATCATTTTATGGGATATCTTTAAAAGTGTAGAAATCTACTCTATAAGAATTCAACTTTAATCAAGGAGGACAGGAGCCTTAACCTATTGTTTATTCAACATATGCTAAATTGAACTAGCCTATGAAATATATCTATGAGTTATAACTTAATTGCATTACCATTAGTAAGTGTGCTTTACGTTGCTTCATTGTCCCTTCCTTCAATAAATACATGATTTCATGCTGTATGAAGCTTTCTGGTTTGTATGAACTGCTCTTGCTGTAACACACTTGTGGCAGAAGTGGTGGAGAAACTGGAAGTAAGGAGCTGATGAGTGTGTAAGGGTGGGCAGAAGGGCAAAGAGACCTGACAGCACCCAAAGGCTCTGCAAGCACTGTGTTTTCCCTACTGCCAGCACAGCTGATGCTGCAGTGGTACAACAGACAGCTGCTCTCAAAGCTGGGCTGAAAGAGGAGAAATAATTATTATCAAATGGAAGTTCTGGGGCTGAGGCTTTGCACCCAGCTTGTGCAGTGGATGACTGGGGTGGGAAGTGTTAGTGATACTGGATGTTGTGTTGACGGGCATGGTTTGGTGGGAGCTATTGGTAATAGGTGAACGGTTGGACTGGATGATCTTTTAGGTCTTTTCCAAGCTTGGTGATTCTATGATTGTATGATTCAGGGCTGTCTCAAAGGACACCACTCTGAATTAACACAACACAAGCCTGCCCACAGGTCTCATTGGTCCCAGTTCAAACATGCTCAGTTAGCAGTGGTTACAGGATGCTGGCAGCCAACCTGACGTTACAGCTGGGCTCACAACTGCCCAGCCCTGGGTCTCATCCATGAGCCACAGCCGCGGGCAGCAGCCTGGGACCCAGCAGCGTGCTGTGCCACCCAGCAGCATCACAGGGAGCAAGGCTGCATGCAGCAGGCGTCCTCCAGCTAATGAATCCCCAGCCAGCTCTCCGTGCTCCCCCAGGCTGCAGTCACTGCCTTTGAACTGTGGCACAAGACATACTTAAAGAAATGCTTGGCTTCTTCACCTTGCTTCTCACCCTGGGTTACAAAATGAGTGTCATGCACTGGCTCACATGGTTATTTTGATTCCCTGCTCCTTTGAAGATACGTGAGCACCATCATGCATCATTATTTTGAAGTGCAGCGTAAGAGTTTCACCACTGAATTAGTAACAATTCAGCACAGGAATACAGAAATAGGTAACAAGAGCAGATCCGTGCTGCCAGCAGCTCTCTGGGATGTTCCTGATGAGGAAAGGATAAACGAGAGATCTGCTGCAGATGGGCTGGAAGAAGGTCCTGTTAAGGACAGAAGCTCTCACTGCACACATTTGCCACCAGTGGTAATTGCAAGGCCACAGTCCCTGCACTTAGGAGTGAATGATAGAGCAACCACAATCATTAATGGAGATGCAGGATCCTATAGTAATTCACATCACCTCTCAGGGCTGCCAGCTCTAAGCCTCTCCATTCAGGGCTGGTTAAAAACGGTATCTGAGCCAGAGCCCTACGAGCTCAAGTTATCCTGAAAACAGGTTGCAAGTTGCAGCAATGTCTCTGTTAAAACAGCCTGAGGCCAGGCAACAGGAACTGCATCCTCCCTGTTACCTCAGCAGAGCTCTGGCTGCATGTTAGACCCTTCTCCCACAAAATCAGTGCCTTAAGGTTGAGCAGGGAAACACAGCATGATCACAGATGTGCAAAAGATGAACGTGAAGTTGCATGCAAGCTCTTTGTATCTGGACATAGGAGAAAGAAAAAGAGCAGAGAAGGGATCTTGGGCCAGGTTTTTAGCAGCACATCATTCTGCAGCCAGCAAGAGAGCCTGTCATAGACTCTGGGGGTGCAGATGGCTCCTCTGGGAGCTGCTGTCAGTAGTGGTGATGGCATGAAGGTTTTTGTGTTCTCCCACCAGTTACAGCAAATGGGACAACAGCACTAAGTTTCATAGAAGGGAATCCCAGCTAGGGAAAGAGTTGGGAGGAGAGGGATGGAAGGCACTGAAGAAAGCCCTCTGCAGCTCTCTGAGAATATGGATATATATCTGCAATTTGAGAAGAAGCATCAGCACTTCCTCTTCACCACTCTGCATCCCAATTCCCACAGCTCTGCATCCCTCCATGTGATGACAACTGGGATGAGTTGCAAGCAGAGCTGGAGGAGCCAAGTTTCGGAGCCAAGCAGGAGGGAGAGGCTCTTGGCTGATTCAGATTCTTTTAGAACAGTCTCACCCATTGAGTTTTATTTTTCCTGCTCTGTTTGTGGCTGGAGAAACTTGGAAACGAAATGATTCAGTTCAAAACAAGAGTTGCTCTGCAGCTGCACCAAGCAGATGAAACAAAACACAGAGGAGGGAGAATCACCAACTGCAGCACATGGTGTCCAAGGCAGTCCAACGAAGAGTTACAGAGGGGAGAGGTAGGAAAAGGAAGGTCAGGGCACTGGCTCATGATCAGCCCAGAAGCAAGAAACCCCTCCTGGCCCACAGGCAGGGCTGGGGCTCCAGGCTCCCTGCTCCACGAGGAGCCAGCCACAGGGAGCAGTGCTCTCAGCTTCCTGCCTTTTCCCCATCCTTCGTCCCCTTCTATGAGAAGGAAGAAGTTTCAAATGAGGTTATCAGGAAAAGTTTTTCCTGAAGGAAGATGAGGGTGAGGGGTTCTTGATGAACTCCATACAATGCCCAGACAAACACCCTGCTTCTCCAGGTCTCCAGGCTACAATATAAATATATTTTGTCATCTGTTTTGAAGCCACTTCACTCACGAGAAGCCTGTCTGTCCCAGCTCTAACTTATCTCCATTTGTCATCTCTATCCATCCTCCCTGCCCCAATAAGTTTACAGAAGTCTCATGTTTTGGAACGTAACGAGATCTCCAAAGACAAATACTGAAGTCTGTGTGGTGTAACAGGTACATGCAGAAATCATAATACCATCACCTGAGGCTTGCTATACAAGCCAGAATAAATACTGCCTTTGGATCTAAGGGAAAACATACAGCAGGGGCTGATACAAAAACATTAGTGACAGATTTAAATGTTAAGGTTCATTGGGTTTTGTTTCATTTTAAATTAAGCCCTCTAAAGCCCTTTGCTGCCGAAGAAGTCCATTTTTGAACCCTTCACCATTACTTCCAGCAGGCAATTCATATAAGCTGCTCACCAACAGCACGGAAAAACACAGCAACCTGCCCTGAAGGCCAAACAAATTCCATCCTCACCAACACTGAGGCTTAACAGGGCATGTCACTGTCTGCAAGCACAGCCCCTCCAACTTCAGCTCCCATCATCCTCACCAGGCTTCTCTGGATCTCATTCTCCCCATCCCATACAACTCCTCCACAGCACAGGACCAAGAGCTATGCGTGCAGCGCTGCCATGAAATCACATTTCAATTCAGCAAGAGAAAAACTCCAGGAAACGCAGGAACATACATTATTTTGCTATGGATCTAAACAGTTTTTCAGCTCCTGATTTCATTTTGTAACGTTCCAGGTGTGCATGTTTCGACTGCTAGAAAAAACGACCTTTCAATTTCACTGGAATCATTAGTCACACACAAAGGCAATCTCTTTTCTGATATAAGGCGAGATAAGCTTCTGCAGAATCCAGCAGTGCTTGTTGTTTGCAGCCAAGGAGTTTATTTGCTCACATGGCACACGTTCACTGCTGGAGTCCATCCTGATGGTATTTATGTGCATTATGGAGGTCACCTTAATGCTGGATTTCTGTTTTATTTGTTCATAGTGAGCCATTTCCAATAGCATAATGTTGGCATACAAAAGCATCAGCTACATTCTCTTACAATGAAATGGAGCTTTGGTTCATAAATCCCTGAGGAAACCAAAGCTAAGCCCCACTGTGTTCCATACACTCCACTGTAGCCCATCTCTTCATCCAGAAATAGAGCTCAGTTACAAAGGCATTAATTTATGTCCCGCAAGGTTTTAACATTGCAGTTGCAAATATATATATATATATGTGACTAAAAACTAAAAAAAACACTAAGAGCACAGCTTCCAGTCTGCACTGTCCCTGGGACCTGAAAAAATCTGCACTCATTTGCTTGAATTAATAATTCAGGAATATCTCAAAATAAACAGCCTTCAGGTGTTTTGTTTTCCAGCACAGCAGTTGAGTCCCAAGTGCCAGAAACCTCACATTCATTTGATTCCCCAAAAGGAATGAATTAGAACAGTGGTAAATGTTGAGGAACGGGGAGAAATAAATCAGGAAGGCCAGGGAAAGAGGAAGGTACACGCATAAGATATTTGTTTGGTCACTTTCACCGCTGCAATTTAATGGGTGTTGTTTCTGTGATGATGACAAATTGCCCTGAGAAACTCCATGTTATGCTGTCACATGTTCATATTTTGTACAGAAAATGATTCCTTCCTCTTTTGCAGGATGAGGTACATTCTAGAAATGTACATAAAAACCAACAGCACAACCAAAATGCACACAAGGAGACAGCACTGCATTGCAAAGCAAGATCCTCTCCCCCAAAGGGAAGGACATCAACTTTACCCTCCTCTCCCAGTTCAGCCAGCTGGGAAACTGAAAGGGAGCAGCCCAAATATCTGCTTGCCCCACCGCCCTCAGCCTGTGGCTGCACGGAGGAAAGCTGCAGCCATCTCCCAAGAGCCACTCGGGGGTGACGCCATCGAGAGCCTTGGCTTTGTCCCAAGGTACATCTGTGAAAGCCCAGCCTTTCACTGGAAGGTTTAAAAGTGTTTCAGCTTCTGCTTAATCTTTTCTTAAGAAAGTCCATACAATTGTAAACGGAACATTATCTATAGGTATCTAGAGACCTTCTTTGGCAGAATCAGAGGCCACAGAGAGCATTACCTGGAGAACAATGTTTATACTGAAAAATAACAACGTGGCTCAACTATGGAGTTGGTTGGTCAAATATTTGCAGAAGAATATATGCCACTTGTGTCTGTGTGAACACATTTCCTTCATTTAGAAAACCCTCGTTCGATTTTAGGGAGAAAAAAGATGAAAATGTTGCTGGTCTGCATTGCTGTGTGCACTAAAAACATCTCAGTGCCTCTTAATTCAGACAGCATGTCATTAAAATAGCAATCAATCCTCAAACCCTGCTGACCAGAAAGAAAACCAGTAAAGCATCACGTCCTGTTTGCAATGTGGATCTTTCACACACTGGAAACACCAGTGGTTATGTTCTACAAGGAAAAAACAGCACTGCTAACCAAAATAATTACACGATCTTAAAACAAACAAACTAAGAACAACAACAAAACCCACAAAAAATCCAACACCTGTTGTGTTCACCAGGGATGCTTTCCCTCCCATATCAGATAAGAACACTCCAGTCTCTTCAGTCAATATTTGAGAAGGTGTGAAACCTCCACATTCTGTCTTCAGTAATATGCTGCTTTTCAACACAGTTCACACAACAGCCTGCTCGTTTTTTTTTTTTAATCTTCTTTCACAAATTAAAGGGAAAACAAGCAGTTTGTTACATGTGGCCTCTCCCTCTTTTTTGGTGTCCTTTTGCTGGACTGAAAAGTTAAATAACAACTAAAAGTTACCTGCCTCTGTCACCATGTCAGGCAGGGCTCTGCAGATGACTCAGGCTCCAGCTATTCTTGCCCTTGATTACAGTCACAAAACATTTTATGGGGATGTTCAATTCCAGGCTCTGCCAGGCAAATGACAACCTGACATACAGAGCAACACTGTGTATCCGTTCTGTGGAAAAGGGAAGTTGTACATCTGCTAAGAACAGCAGCAATCTTTAACCTAAGACTTCACAGGGAAAAAGCTTTGCAAGCCATTTCTTTATTCCAGACCCATCACCACTGAACACAGGTTTCTACAGCGCAGAGCAGTCAAATAAATAAAATCTGTCCTGTACGGAGGAAAGCTGCTAACTTCTCGTGCTCCTTGGCTATGAGACCTGATGTCTCAGGGAGACTCTGGTGCCATTTCCTCACCCCACACACACCGCATTCCCACAGCTGAGCTCTGTCTGTGCTCTGTCTGATAGGAACCCTCTCCAACCTGACTCTCCCTGGGGAATACTGTAGCACTAGAACTCTGAGATTTACAATGGAATCCAGAGCTACAAAGAAGTTGGTTGAAATGTAGAACTGTTGAAAGGAAGGAGTTGAATGCTTAACCACAGAACTATTAATTGCTTTATTTAGAGGATGTTGGTAGCTTCAGCTGAACAGAGTGATCAGGTTAAGCAGCTATTCCTCTCCTCTCCCTCTTTTCCTATCCTGCTCACAGATACTGACTGGCAGCAAGGCATTGCGAGGTAAGAGAGATTGGGAAAAACAAAAGAAAGGAGAAGACAACAAAATAGTTCTGTTTTATTTGGCAAGTGCCAGAACTTACTGGGTGTGCTCTGTGACTAAGCACCAAGCAAAGCCCTGCAGGGGACAGAATAGGCAGCAGCAAAGCCAGTTCCTGCATTCCAGTCTGCTTTGGGCAGGACCTACGCACAGATTTCTCCAATGGGGCAGCTCCAGGCATGCTCAGAGACAGAGCTGGGTGCCTGGGGAATGCAGACTCCAACAAGGTGAGCTTGGGCACCCCCGGCACCAGGCAGCCACAGGGCAGAAACACTCAGGACTGTGATCTCAGCTCAGATTCCAGTTAAATCTCAGAATCACAGAATGGCCAGGGTTGGAAGGACCTCAAGGATCACAAAGCTCCAATCCCCTGCCACATGCAGGGCCACCAACCTCCACATTTAACACCAGCCCAGGCTGCCCCATCCAATCTGGCCTTGAACACCTGCAGGGATGGACGGGGCATCCACAGCCTCTCTGGCAGCTGTTCCAGCACCTCACCACTCTCATAGTTAAGAACTTTCCCCTGACATCCAACCTCAATCTTCCCTCCCTGAACTTAAATCCATTTCCCTTGTCCTGCTGTTATCAACCCTTTCAAAGAGTTGATTCCCCTCCTGTTTGCAGACTCCCTTTAGGTACTGCAGGCTGCAATGAGGTCACCCTGCAGCCTTCTTTTCTCCAGGCTGAGCAAGCCCAGCTCCCTCAGCCTGTCTTCATAGGGAAGGTGCTGCAGCCCCCTGATCATCTTTGAGGCTCCTCTGGACCCTCTCCAACAGCTCCCTGTCTTTCTTGTCCTGGGGACTCCAGACCTGGGCACAGTACTGCAGATGGGGCCACTTTAAGAGCCAAAATACTTGAGTGGATGCTCCACTGCACATTCTGCTATAAAGCACAATGTTTGCTAGGTACACCGCACATAAAGGCTGTGTATTTTTATACTGTGTGTAAACAAGTGAATACCAACTGATCTTTTCACTGTAAAGTCAGACAGCAAATTCAACAAGCTGCAACAACCCATACGGTGCACAGTTCAGATGCTGTCCCAGCAGCTCTCTCCAGGAGCTCCGGGTCCCTTTGCTCCCACACTGCCCCAGCAAGGTCACCCTTGGTGCCTAATGCCGCGCCCAGGCCGCCTGCAGGGGACCTCCAAAGGCATTTCCTAAGCCGTCCGACGTGGATTAAAAGTCACAGCTCCGCTGTTCTGTAGCACACCGTGCTGCGGGTCAGGGAACGCTCCGGGCCTGCGGGAGAACCTCGGGGCCGAACCCCGCAGCCACAGACGGAAGCGACCCCACCGGGACCAGAAGGCGTCCGCTTGTGTGCAACCTCCCGGCTCCGCTCTGTCCCGCGCCTCGTCTGCCCTGGAGGACTTGCGGGCATGGCTGCGCGTAGTGCGCCTGCGCAGCATTCAATCCATTCCTCCAGAGCAGACGAGGCTCGGTGGGGGCAGTGCGGCGCTGGTGGGGCGGCCCAGCGTCGAGGGTGGGCCTGGGCCTGCGCCTGCTGTGGTAATTCCACGGAGAACCGCAGTCTGACGAAGTTCAGGGTCCAAAAGGTGCAGTACGGGTGCTGACAAGAGCACAGCCCAGTCATGGTTAGCATCATGGCGTGGTTAATTTCTTAAATAATGCGCTGGGATGGTTGCCTTCTATTTGGAATTGATGAGGAGATGCAGTACAGTGATCTCGCCAGGACACTGCAGTTAATTTAGGAGGTACTGGCAGCCACGTAGCCTGGAGTTGTGCAGCATCTCGGGGCGCCCTGGTGGGCTGACAGTGAATGGTTTGTGTTGTTTGTGTGTGGGTTTACATATAACACCAGAGTCACTTTGGAAGTGGCCCTGTGAGGCCCAGAGGAAACCAGCAGCAGTCTGAAGGCCGTTAGGGCCCCAACTGGCTCCTGGTGTGGGACAGCCCTGCCTTAAGTTCCCTGTGTTAACATGTCCATGAGGAAGCAGGTGCTGCAGCTTCTGCTCACTTCAGGTCTTGGTTTGCTGAGACCTCTCCTCTAAGCAAGGGCTGAGGGACTTCTCTGGAGAAGAGAATGCTCAAAAGAGACCTCATTGTGACCTTCCAGTACCTGAGGGGAGTTTATGAACAGGAAGAGAGCAACTTTTTACACTTTTTACTCACTTTGATATTGATAAGACAAGGAGGAATGGCTTTAAACTAAAAGAAGGGAGATTTAGGTCAAGTATCGAGGCCGGTAAGGCACTGGTGCAGGCTGCTCAGAGAAGCTGTGGGTGCCCCATGCCTGGAACTGCCCTTGGCCAGGCTGGATGGAGTGCTGGGCAACCTGAGCTGGTGGTTGGCAGCCAAGCCACAGCAGAGCTTGGAACTGAATGATCTTTAAGGTCCTTTCTAACCCAGGCCACTCTGATCTCTCCCTGAATGCCCTCCCTCTCCATTGCTGTTTTTCCAGGCTGATGATCCAGTGCAGTGATGACTGCCATACAAAATATATCTGGAAACCACTTTTTTATTGCACCTCTAAGAAGTCCACCCAACTCTTTGAATTAATAGTTATTGGAAATACCTTTAAGAAACGTGTGTTAAATAGTGCCACTAAAGGTGCAAGCAGAGGAGAGAAATGAGGAGTGTTATCCTTAAGTGCTTTTGCATGTTTGGTTAGATATTTCACAAGGAAACAGAGGTCTCTGCTATGTACACAGTGCCTCCTTCATGACACATGCAGGCAGGGACAGCTGTCTTTTATATCACAAGGGCAAAGGTTTCAGAAGCATTTAAGAGCCCATCAGTCTTAAGACACAGCAGACTCCATTTACACGGATTTCGGCAGGGTGAGCCACTGGCTGGTGTTGCAACCTTTAAAATCCCCATGAAGAAAGGAAAAGGAGGTGTTCCAAACAAGATCCTTGAACCGTGTACTAAAATCTGCCACTGATCTTGAAAAACAGGACAAAATAACCACAAATAATTACTCTTTTTTTCTATGTTGAACACTGAAAAAGACACAGAGTGCTCAGCAGGGTTTTTGCTTTATGCTCATCATAAATTATGCAGCCTTTCCAAAGACAGAATAAGCATATCACACACACATTCATGATCCCTTACAGTAAATGTAGATGCATAGTCTTGGAAAAATCAAGGCTGTTATGGGGACCCTGAAAAGTTCAGATTACAAAGCACAGTAACAAACTGTTTGTAGCTATAGATAAGCATTTATTTATGCTGCAAAAGTTGTATTTCATGTGCCTTTACATTGGTCTGAGAACAGTTCCTGTTACACGACCTGTAGGGGAATACGATGGGCTCAAGTAGCTGCCATGAATATTTTACACCAAACTTTAATATGTTTCAGCTTACACCCACCATTAAACATTCAGTGGCTGAAAAGAAAGCTCTCCTTATGCCTTAGTCGTTCACATTTGAGACTTCATGCTACTAGGTGCAATACATGGATGGCCCTCTTCTTCATTTTGACCATTTTTTTGAGCTTTGCTTGTGACCATGGGGAGCTGCAACTTCCACACCACAAGGACTGTCAAAGTGGAGAAAACTGCAGAAGAAAACAGAATCTGACAAACTGCCCAGCAGGTATTTGGGGATAATATACCAGAGGTCATTAGCTTCTTTAGAATGCTTTTCTGTCACACACAGCTCAACAACAAATGCAGCCAGACATTGATTGTGTTGAACGCTAGAGAGGCCCTTAGGTAATGAATTAGTCTTGCAGCAATTAATATAATAAAAGGAAGTAGGCTTAATCAGCTACTGTAGAGCATTCAGTATTGTTATAAGATTCACATATCCGGGGACTTCCTTTTTGTACTGCATTAAAAAGGCAACACTGAAAGCAGGCAATATTTTTAAACGAGGCATGGTTCATTTTACTGATCTTGATGTCATAATGCAAATAAACACACTTTATTTAAAATGTAGAGGCACTAAGTCTATCTGATGTACATAATAAACCTGCACTGTACAAGAAAAACAATGATATGCTTTTGGTTTTGTTGTTCACAGGCTTTTTCTGCCCCGAAGGAAGCAGCACGCCAGTTCCGTGTCCCCGAGGCACTTTCCGTCCCGAAGGAGCAGCACTGACACCACACAGCTGCTTGGCTTGCCCAGTGGATTTCTTTAACCCCATGCCTGGCCAAAAAGCATGCCTCCCATGCGGCTCGGAGGCAGCACAGCCCACAGAAGGGCAGGAAACATGCATCTGTCTTGGGAAAGGCCAGGTGTTTCAGGTACATGGACACTTCTGTAGCAGCTGTTCAGTCCTAATGGAGGTCACCATTACTTCAGGCTTTGGTCTTTACTCTCCACCTCAAATGTGCTGCCCTAATGCAGGGTACCCCCCTCTCACACTGGCATCTTCCAGTCCTGCATCTCATTTCCACTTACACACATTCACCAGGCTGAAAGTAGCATAGCAGATCTACACGTGTTCTGAGTTTCAGGGCTGCATCCATCCCTCTTTTAGCGGGAAGGGAAAGATGGTGTGAATGGACCCTCAGGTTTCCTCTGATCTCAACCAAATAAGGTGTGATGCTTAATGTAGCAAGGTGCATAACAGTGACTTCATTTAGAAACATGCAGGTTTCTAAATGAATCCCTCTTTTTTTTTTCCAGGTTCGTGACGCCCACTGCACATGCCCTCTGGGTTATCAGAGCTCTGTGGGTGGCAGAAGTCATTGTGTCAGAAGAACATATGATGTCTGTCGAGATTCAGCCTCCCGAAATCAGGAGGGACGGTGCCTGACCAAGAAGGAATGGACTCACTATTGCTCAGAAAAGGTGTAGTGTTTTTCCGTCAGTCAAATCCAAGATCCATGCAAACATTGCCCTAAAAGCAGACTCCCTAGCTCTTCCTTTGCTAGGTGCAGGCAGCATGAGGACCGAGCATTAACAGCATTTTCACAGCAGGTTTTAACTCTTCTTCAAACTGAAATAAGAAGCCTATCAGGAAGCCCAGATTTCCATCCTCGCATAAGGAGGGTGGGTCATTATTTGTCTTCCAAGCTGCTATTTTATTCCTTTTTTTCTCCTGCAGGTTTGTACTATTCCCAGGGATTATCAAGGCTATGATAAGGTTCTTGGCCTCTGCATCTGTCAAACTGACCGTCTGGATAACATCTGTGATTCTCAGTGTAGGAGGCAACAAAGAGAAACCCTGCAGATCACCTGTGCAGAGGAAAATCCTCAGCTTTTTATCACTTACAGAAATGGGAGCAAGGTAAAAACTGCTGTTATTTTCAAGATCAACCTATTTCTTGCTAAACTTTGTAGACTTTGAGTAATCATTTTATCAAATAACATAATTTTTATTTATTTTTTAATTTCCTTAAAGAAGTACAGAAAGCAACGAACAAAAACCCCCGGCACAAGCCTGTTATACACATAGCATATTTTTTGTACTTGGCCTTGCTTTGCAATAGTGTGAAACACTCACATACATTTTCTGAGTTCCTTTTCTATTAGGCTGCTGTTCTCTTAGAAGAATTAAGAACGGTTCTCCTAGGATCAAATTTCCCTTTAGAAAATGTCTGCACTTCAGAACAAAGCAAATGCTCTCATCCAGCATACATCGTGAAAGCAAGTGGTAAGGAAGAGGATAACAAAAGTGATAGCTGGGTTTAGAGATATGTTATTAAATAGTTATTAAATGGCTTCTATAAAAACTGGCCTTTCCTTCTTGTTTTTAACACAAACAACAAGAAATTCTGATACTTACATCCTGGCATGATGAAGTGATGCTGAGTCACTGCTCAGTCCTGAAACACTGCCCGAGTTCTGGACATTCCCAGTATTCCAGGAATGGACAGACACTCAGAGATTCCCTCCCACTCTCACTTTCTAAGAAGAGATGCATGTCAGAAGGCTCCCTTCTCACAATCCTTTATCTGTTTAGATTTTCTTTTGGGCTTCAGATTTTAATGTGAATGTATCAAGCGGAATTAGAAGGAGTTAAACATTCTTTTTTAAAGTATTCTAGAATTAAGCTGTGAGCCAAAAGCTTTTTATACAAGTGCATGAAAATTTAATAAGAACAATAGGATGCAATCGTTTCCCTATGGTACCTTGACACAGTTTCATTGACAACAGCCAAGTTAAACCAGTTGCTGCTTAAGGAACAGGTCTTGCAACACCAAACAAACCCTAAAGCCTTTGGATAAGGCCCAATTGTTCTAAAGCACTGCCCTAGAATAAGAGAAATGAACTGAAAAGCATGTAACTTGGTTTGAGGCTTTGTAAACCTAACTTGTGGAGTTTGTGAGCTGATACTCTACAAACTAGAAGAAAAACCAAAGTCCAGCTTGTTGAAAACCAGAAGTAATGAATATTTTTCATATTGCTTTAGGGAGAGGATTTTTAGGAGTGTATAATCCTGACCCACAGCTGTTTCATAACTTCATCATGCTGAACAAGGCTTCGTCACTTCACAAAAACAGGTCTTCCTCCCCAGCAGCTCCAGGTAAGTTCTCACATTTGGTTACAAAGCATATATTTAAATACAGTTTCACTAAGGTTTAATTGTGCTTCAACCATCTCCAGTACCAAACTAATTAGGAAACAGAAACCAACAGACCTTACCATCTTCAAATAGCCAGAAAACCTTTTCACTCTAAGCATAGTGAAGTGAAAGAAAGAGCTGACTCCCTGCGCTGCACATCAGAGCCTCCTGCTTTGCAACCCAAGCCCACGAGCCAGCAGCTGCATCCTCCTGGCCCTGCCTCTTCCCCAGGGGTGATGAGGAACAGCCAGGTGCTAGCTGTGCCTCCATCTGGGTGCACAGAGCTGGCAGTGGCCCCCTCACTGCCACCATGTCCACAGGTCTGCAGGGAGGGTAGAGCCCAGGAGGAAATGTCAGGGCTAAGCTCTCTTCTGTTCCTCTCACACCTCTCCTTTGGTTTGATCCGCTCTTTTGGTTCATCTGCAATTCTGATTTACACCATCATCTGCATAACTTCTGGCATTTCAGATTGCTTTCTCATTAGTTCTACTTGCAGTCTTCTTGGAGAGCAGGACTTTAGTTCCTCTGTGCCTCCAGAGTCATCCTCAAATCCATAGCCAAGCCATACAAGGGGACACATTCCTTAAAAAGGCTGCAGATTTTGCAAGAAGTTCTGCTTCTTTACCAAATGTGCTTCAGAGTTGCAAAAAAGATAAGAAAATGTGGTGCAAAATTATCCAGTGTCAGGAAGGTGTCAGTGGCATTGTTGGCTTGACAGTATGCCTTACTCTGGAAGCCAGATTTGTGTCTATAAAGCTTAGTCATAACAGCAAATAGGAAATAGTGTATCCTGCAGCAGTTCTGTAGATGGAAAATCATTGGTAATGATCCAAACATAATGATCCAAACCTGTGCTTTTACAGTTAATTCTGACCATGAAGAACCCAGATCTTCCCCGATACAAAGCCTGAGACCTTCAACCTCCACATCAAAAATCGTATTTAGTGGCATCTTAAATCCTACCACGTGCATTAATGCTAACGTTACCTTTGTGTTCATTGTCTCCAAGGAGCATTACCCAGTTTATGATGTGTAAGTACAATGTAGAGCTTAGCTAATGCATTTTTAGGTGAGCTACAGAAAAGATGGCTGAAATTTTCACTTTTCTCAACGTAGAATTCAGAGGAAACATGACTAGGAAGAGTAGAAATCTCATTAAGTGTGCTTCAATGTCTTTTTGACAGAAAAGACAGGATGGTGTAGTTGGAAACTGCACGTAAGACATCAGGGAAGCAATATTCTGTCCTTAAAAGAAGCAAAACCAAATATATACATGCTGTTCCTGTTGCCCTGCTGGTGCTATTTCTGACCCACTAAAAGGCAGACCTGTCTTAATATTTTGCAAGTTGACTTCTCACTGCTTATGCTTTATATTCCCTCTCATTCATCCTAATTTCTTTTCCCTTTCTGTAATCACTGAGCTAAGGTTTAGGTTTTGGTAAGCTCATCCTGATAGGAACAAGCACATTCTAGTGCACTGCAGGCCTTAGGAGCTCTGCCTTTGCTGCTTTTGTTTCTGTGGGCAGTTCTGGAGATTTCTTCCCCTGTGGCCTATTTTCATTTCATTTCTGGCGTTCATCCAGCTTGAAAGCAAAGAAGTAACAGAAGGGACAGGTAATGAATTACAGCACGTTATGTGTGGGTGCCATGTTGGCATCTGTGGTGTTGAAACCCTTACAAAGGGTCCCAGTGGCTGTTTTCTTCACTTCTAAATATTTATTCTGCTTAGGGTTAATTCCTGCTGCGTTTCATTACGTGCATCAGAGCTGGTTGGAACAGCCTCAAACACAGTGCCACTGTGTGGACGATTAGAGGTTCAGCACCTAAACTCTAGCTAATCCTCGGGTACTCAGTGGTGTAGATGAATCCTAAGCAGCAACCAAAGCTTGATAAATAAACCTACATGTCTTGTGCACGCACACAGACACACACACACACAATCCAGTGACAAGAACAGACTCTTGTACTTTTGCTCCTAGGAACAACTTGTACAACACAAACACCGAATTTGACTGGGCGGACTTTCGAAGACTTGCGGAGGAAATAAGAGCTGCTTCCCAAACCTTCCTCTTCTTCCTTTTCCAGTTCCAGCACCCTGGTACCTATGTGTTACAGCTGAGCAGCAATCAGCACAAAAAAATGGTTTGTATTGAGGAATGCTGTCTTTGCATGTACAGTATCGTTAGCAAAGCATTTAAATGTTCCAAATTCAATTCCCAATTCAATTGGGAATTGAAAGGAAATGTTAAAGATACGACTGAGCATCTTTTCATTTTTACATGCCATGCTGCAGAGGTGAATACAGCAACAAATGCTGGTGTTTCTGTGCACAGGCATTACATGGGAGTGCAGAATGGTGCAGCTGCTGCAGAGATTTGACTCAGTGTCACAGTCAAAATAACACTTCAGATTTAAGTCGTTATGCACACTTAAATAACATGCAGTGACAGTGACTGGTGTTTCTGCTGCTGTTCATTAAGTACATTAGGGTCCTGCCACCTGGAGGACAGTGTTACGAAGAGGGGCCATTCTTCCCCACAACTCCCAGATATGCTGTGCAGGTGGGCATTGCCAGACAGCAAGACCTCCTGCTGAAACCTGACTGGACAGCCATTATTGGAGTAATCACAGGACTTCTCACATTGCTTATTACCTGCGTGGTGCTGACAGTAAGTAACAGTTACACAAAGTCTCTTCTTGAAAGATTCTGTGCAATGAACCCACTAGCCGCCTGTTTCCTCAGGCATCCCCTATAGAACATTTGGGCTCAACTTTATGTTTTATATATGGGGTAAAATCATCCCTATGAATTTATCCAGCCCCACTGACACTCGAGGATATTTACCTGATGCATAGGCCACTTGGAGACACTTAAGGTACAGTGAATTTCATTTCTGTCCTCTGGTTCATTAGATGTAACCACATAATGAAATTCTCCATGATATGCATCTCTTCAGGAAGGAGGATGAGATGACAATTATTTTTTTAACATAAGCACAAACCTGTCTTAAAATAAAGAAGCCATAAGTAAGTCCTGTAAAGTTATGATAAAGATCTGTCAATTGGTGATGAGTTTTTGCAGTGCTCATTCACGTGGCTTGCAGTTCTTCACTAATGGTTCAGGCAGAAGTCCCTGTGAGCACAACATAGCTGAGATCAGAGCACAACAAATGAAGTGGGCCTTCAGACTGTGGTAGAAGATGGATTTATTCATCCATCATCAAACAACACATTTGTACTTCCTTCCCCTTGGTTTCAGCCTCATCTGCTAAGATTAGCAATTCTGCCTTAGAACAGACCATCCCAGAGAGGTACTTAGAAAACAGACTCTCAGGGTCTTTGCCTGATGGCAAAAGTAATGGTGCATCCTGCTTGTTGAGTGACTGACACATGAATCACAAACTGCAACTTGTCACAATGAGAAAAGAAGTTCTTGTGTTCATTTTTGTTGTGTCTTGCAGCTTCTCTGTCAGGGACTTAGCTGGTCACAGAAGGGCACTGCCTGCCCTCCATTTCGAAGGCAGCAGCTGAAGTACAATCTGGACAGATATTCCTCCAGTATACCAACAGTCTTTCCCATCAAGAAGTATCACCCCTGGCTGCAGAACAAGGGTAGCATGGATGCTGACTCTTGCAACACTGGTGGAACAGGTCAGATAACAAAAAGCTAAATAACAGTGGGGCTGCCTGGTTTCTTGTATGTATGGAGCCAGGATCCCATGTCTAGCAACGTGCAGTGGCCCAGACTTACTGATTTGCATAAAGAAAACAGTCATGGAGTGAAAAACACTAATAAATGAATATTCGTGTTTCAGCCTGCTCCATGAGAAAGGGTGGCGTTTGGGAACCTGAAGAACAGATAGACCTTGAGTTGTTTAACACCAACATTTTCTTTGAACTTTTGCTGAGGCAGTCACAGTCAGTCACAGCCAAACTGGGCCATTTCAAAGAAGAGGTAAAGTGCACTTGGGGGCTACTAATTTATACAGAAAGAGTCAAAAACTAGTAATGTTGCTGCTTCCCATCACCTATTTTGTATGTACTTTCTTTCAACTTTCATGCTCTTAGAATTTGAAACACTGACATGTATCCGTGTTCTTAAACATGTTGTTTATACCATGTCATATGGTGTGAAGCATAGTGACCTTAAGGCAGAACATTTTGATTTTCTTATGAATCTGCTCTGCACATTTTTGGAAAAGGACTTTGTCTCCCAGCCCCAGTTTTTCATCTGGAAAATAAAAGTAATACAGGTTACCTGGTCAAACACTTGGGAATCGTAGATTAAACTGAGGAGAAGTAAATATAAATGAATGTGTGGTGACACAGAAATGGAGTCCTGCTCTGTTATTTGAATTTCATAATAGTCTCACAGCTGAAATCAGCGGGATAGCATTTCACTGACCCACAGTAACGACGATGGACCTGTCTGGAGCACTCATCTAACTGCATGTTTGGCTTAAGGGACAGCAGAGGGAGCTGCATTGCAGCATGCAGTTAGCATGGAGAGATCACTGGGACTCAGGAATGCTAGCATGAAAATGATTTGTATTGAGGACTCAGGGCTGTCATGTACTTTTGTTGCATAAAAAGGCACCGATGTTACAGAGAAAACTTACTGCCCTCATATTATCTCTTACAGTCCTAATTTCTTTCTTCTTTTTTTTTTGCCTTAGGTGAAAACGTTTTATCGCAAGCTTACAAGTGAAATATCTGCACTGAAAAGCCTTTGGATCATGACATTAAATATCCCAGGAGAGGTGGAGTCTTATGAGAGCACAACGATGGAGAATTACTTAAAAGCAAAACAGCAGGTAGAGCTCAGCATCACTAACACGTGCAATAGCAAATGACATCTGCAGCATTCTCCTTTCCTAAATGGAAATTTAGGTCATTTAGAACATCGTTTTGTAATTGTAAACACTTCATCTGTCATAGTCTGCAACACAGTTAACATTGTATGACTGCAAACAACAGGCTGTGCTGGACCTTTAAAGGCTTGTGAATTTGCTGCTGCTGCTTCATGCTAACACAGAAACGCTTCTGAAAGATTGCTCACTTGTTTTGTTTTCTTGATCTGTCTGATGGACCCATTCATTCAGCTCTTTTGGGGTCTCTTCAGTAGCAGAGCTTTCTGCTATGAGAACAGTACTCACTGGTCTGCATTAGCATAACATCTTTTTTATTAGTGTAACATCTTTTTTCCACTTTTGTTTGTTTCCATTCTTAGAAAAGTTCTTAGAATGAAGTGATTTTGTGCCCTGTAAGCAGATACACACTCACTGTTTCACTTGGAAAAGTGTGTATGCTACACAGTAAGTAGTTATAAAAGTCACTTTTATTAAGTGACTCCTAAAAGTTCTGCACTGCTTGTTAAAAGGATATCTTAAGCTATTAGCTTATTCAGATCTGGATACTTATCTGCACTGTGTGCTGGATAATTGCAGTTCAGCATATTAGACGTATTAGCATAAATGTGCTCCAATTCAAATGAATAGATCAAAATTATTTGTAATTTCTGATTTTTGTTATTTTAATAAAAGGCAGAAAAGTTAGAATTTCTGCTTACATTTAGCTAAAGCAAGAGAAGAACTGTTTGGATCTTATATCCCACCTAGGCAGAAGAAGAGATGCAGCACAGGAAGCAGTTGGCTGCAGAGTATGAGGAAGGTGTGAAGAAGCAGATGCAGTTACTGCAGCACGATCTGAAGTGCCAGGAAGAGCATTATGTCACATTCAATTCTGCCCTGCGAGAGGCAGCGAGGTTGGCAGAGATGCTGACAAATAAGATGGCCTGTAAAAGAAGCCCAACCACTTGGTCCCAGCCAGACTGTACAAGGTAATAAACGTTCTGAAACCTTCTGCTACAACTTTGCATTTCCTAGCTGGAAGCATTTGTGCAGGTGATTGGGTTGGCTTGTATTAGGAAGAGATAATCTAACAGATTATGAACAGCTACTCTAAACCTCAAACAGCCATATAGTGAAGAGACCCCCATCTGAATCTAGAGGACAACCATTTTCTGAGGGTGTTTTCTTTCACTGCCAAAGGGTTTTTGTTGTGATATTATGCCAATTAAGGTCAGTGTGCAAACCATGCTCTGTCAGGACTTGGAATGTTCAGAATCAGAATTCTCTGATTAAGGAGAAAACAGAAAAAGAGAGAAATTGGTATTTTTAATTCAGTAGCCAAAGCAAGTACTCATAGAGCTCTCTAAGTGCCAAAGTGCAGAGATCATGTGCATGTCCTTCCAAGCTCTTCCTATACTGCTCCCTTGAAATTATTTTATCTTAACTTCATGTGGCAAGTGACCATCTTTTAAATTCCAGCCTGTTAGCCCAGATAGATGCTGCAAGCAACAGGATGTCAAGCTTAATAATAACAGAGAGCCACCGCCTCAAAGCATGGGGAGTGCTGGGTGAAGGAACAGGAGCTCACCTTCTTAACAAAGCTAAAGCCAGGATCCTTACCAAACAGGAGCTTGTGGGTAACTACAACCTCTAGAAATGCTTTTCAAAATGATGCTAGAATGCAAGGAAGTGTAGGCAGGAAGGTGCACATCTGCTCCTTTTGATGCTTTCATAAATAGGTGACAAAAGCACCAACAGCAAAGTGAAGAGAGATGTGCTTTGAAAGTGTCCTCATGGAGTTCTCACTAACAACTCGTGAATAGAGGGGGTGCTCGAAAAGCAAAGTCATGGGTAGAACTTTCTTCTGCATTGTTTGTCAAAAAGAGTGGATTTCTGAGAGGATAACAGGATGCTGTTCTCTTCCCCTCCTATTTTTGCATTGCTCTTAGACCCAGATGGCACTGCCCGAGCACCTGATGTCGTCTCAGTGGATCCTGTCACTGGGCTGTTAATTCCCAGCCCGCACTGTGCCGTGCTGCTGGGCAGCCAGTGCTCTGGGCCAATACCCAGCAACCATTTCCTGCACCCAGGCACTGGGAAGGTGCTTCACATAGCGGGCAACGTCGGTTATGATCCCATCAGATCTGGGCTGGTCTGTACTGTTGATTCTGCTTCAGGTAAGAGTTGCTATGAAATAATCGATCGGTTCAGTTGCTTATTTGTGGAATCCGGTTTTAATGGTGTAAAAGAAAGAAAAAAGCCAACACGAAACGCCTTGGTACACTTGCATGTATTTTAACCTTAACAAAATCTGAAACTAAAGAAAATTTGAGAAAACTTCTCAGTAGAATGGCGCTGGGAGATATTTTTCTTCATCTAAATACAAGATGTGAATAAGAAGTATTAGGTGCTACAAGGCTTATATACAGTAAAGTATTGCTACAAGGCTTATATACAGTAAAGTATTGCTACAAGGCTTATATACAGTAAAGTATTGAAGTATTCTTTATTTCCAGCATATTTCTGTCTGTCTGCACTTTAAACCATAAGAGCCATTATGTGCCTCACTCTAAGGAAAGGGCCAAAGTACAAATTAAGTCTGAAAACAAGCAACAAAACAACCATCAAGCTGCTACAGAGGACTTACAGTCAAATTCACTTAACTCTGGACCTAAGCATTGCAAGCCTTTAGTATGAGCACTCTCTGAAAGCTCCATAGACTCTATTCTGAGCTTTAATGCCTCCTTGCCTTTAGCATTAGCATAACCATGCTGGATTTCTTCTGGTTTTACGTGTAGGTGAGCGTCAGAAGCCTGAAGTGCCCATATTTCCTTACATTCCTTACCCGGTTTGTCCTGACACTGGCTTACCTGTGAAGACAAAACTTCCAGTCCTGTGTCCTGAAAACATATTTGGTCTTGGAGGACTCATGGCAGATCCAGTGACAGAAATAGAAGTCCCAGTGCTTGGGGTTACGATCCATCCTCACACTGGGCAAAAGCTGGCTGTTGGTGGGACATACCTCAACCCCATCACCAGCACACTGACACCGCTGGAGATCGGGGGTCCTATGACAGAGCCAGAGGGAGGCAAGATTGTTCCGATCCTCGGGGTTGGTTTGGATGGTACCACTGGTAGGTGAATTCTTTGTGAACTGCTGGATGAGGTATGCAGTGTGCATTCAGCCTGCTCTTAACACGCTGCCTACAGGCGCGGAACAGAGGGAGCCTAAAGCCGTCACTTTCACCTTCCACCTTTACCTTGTCCTGTCAGGACAACTCCACACCTTAGTCTCT